CGTTCTTGCTCGCCGGGTTGCTGGGCGTGTGGAACAGGGTTATCGGGTCGAGGGTTTTGGCCTTGAGGTGTTAGTGAAACTTTGGAAGGGGGGATGGGGGATGGTTGGGGAGCTTTGGGATGGGGGCTTGGGGACGTACGAAGCGGAAGACCATTTTGTTTTTGGGGTGGTGGTGGTTGTGCTTCTTGTTTTTGTGGTTGTCGTTGGAGGGGATGGGGTTGTTTGGGTGATTGGGTGGTTGGGTTGTTGGGTGGGATTGGTGCTGGTGGTGCTGGTGGTGAAGGTGAAGGTGGTGAGGGTAGTTGTGCAGTGCAGTTGGAGTCGGGGTCTGCATTGGGAAATGGCAGTGGTTACTACAGCTGAGCGGAGGTACGGCGGGTGTTGCGTTGCTGATTACGTCATGGGACTGAGTCATCTTTACCACAATCCATGGCTGTAATTGATACTCATACTGTTGATTGTTGCATTTGCATTTGCATTTGCAATGGTTATTGCTTATGTTTTAGGTCTTTTTGTTTGCAGTTGTGCTGTAAACCTCCGGGATATTGTTCGGCGAATCGTTGGTGCTAGTAGAGAGCTACACCGTGAGTAGTCCCACTGGCCATTGTTTTCTTCAGAGTACTTCCGGGCAGCCAAATATCCTGCGCTTCAACATATCAACAAACAATCGTGGTATCTATCATTATCGTATATACATCATTTCCCGAAAAAGGCTCTACCACCCAAATTGCTCTATATGCAGATATATCCCCTGGGCGCCGGTCCCCTTGTGCACGGCTCGCTCGTCGCTCAGCGACACCACGCTGCGCCGCGTATCGTCCGACAGTCCCTGCGGCCCACAGACCACCACGGCGCTCTCCCCCTCCGCCCGCTCGAGGACCTTGCGGATGACAGTCCGGACCTGAGGCCGACCAGACAGGATCGTCAGGGGGCGCATGGGGGGTGCCGGTTTCGTATCCGGGGATCCTGGCGGGCCCGCGGCTTTCTCGGACCCTGACGGTGCAGCAGCCGTCGCGGCGTGTCCCGAGCAGGTACACTTGCTTGTGATCACATCTTCATCCTCGATGGCTGCCGTGCAGCAGCAGCCTCCGCCGGGTAGACAGCCGGTGTCATTGATGGAGATAGCATCCTTCTCCACGATCTTCTCGGTGTATTTCTCGTCGGTCGTTTCCATGGATGAGCGGGACTGAGCCACGGCGGTGGATGGCGTCTGTGCGCAGAGAGTGGCTTGCGTCGGCTGCTCCAGCTTCTCGTCGCAGGTGATGTAGATGCTCAACTCGATCTCGCGGATGAGGTCGGCATTTGCGCGTTGGCACTCTTCCGCGTCGGCCAGGACGGACTGCAGCTGGCTCTCAAACCAGCTGAGCTGGGTGCGTGATTTGATCACCCACACGAATCGGATTCGCTTGGTCGCCGCGAGGTGCTTGGGCGAAGCGCCACCTTGCGCGCAGTCTTTCTTCCACTTGGCCACGATGTCTCGCAAGCACGGGATGGTATAGGTCACGCCCATTCCGCCCGCCAGGAGGATGACACTGTCGAACTGCTGCAGCGGCCTCATCTGACCATACGGGCCTTCAAGGAAGACCGTCCGCGTCTGTTTAGTGGACGCGGTCTCTCCGGTCCCAAGCATATGGTGGCGCTTCGACGCGTAGCGGAAGAACCGACGGGTTCCGCCTTTCTCGGCGCGGACGAAGACTTCGAGCTTGTTGTCTTCGGGGATGGACGCGATGGTGAAAGGGTGGCTTTGGAGCGGAGCAATCGAATGGCATGTGAGAAAGACATGCTGACCTGGTTTCCAGCTGACCCCGGGGTTCTCAATCGTGACGCGCGTGACGTTGCCCGGTAGAGGCGTGAAAGTCGCCCTGTTGGCCCAGAGGGCATGGCTTGGAGATTTTGAGCGATGGAAGATCGACAGATTGATATATGTGGCCCAGATATAGCGCGCCACGCGGTCGAAGACGAGAAACCCTATCGGAATCCAGACCCAGACCTTGACCTCCGCCGGTGCATGCAGCCAGACGGCCGCGATGAATCCAACAAAGGTGACCAGATGTTGCAGGACAAAGAACTCATATCCGAACCTCCGGATCGGGGCGGCGGAGGTGATCACAATCCAGGTCAAAATGGCCCACGCGGCTAGTCCTCGAGCAATCAAGGGGTAGTTCTTGATTTCGTAGGAGATATAGTTGTAGCGACCCCAGTCGCGGAACCAGAAGGCCATGTGGATCGTGGCCGTCAGCCAGAGCGTTCGGGCCACCCAGCGATGGTACCAGTTCAGCCGTTCATAGCTCATGCCTACCAGGGCACCGATGAGATTCTGTCTCCCGGCTAGCAGGAAGATCAGGGGCAACTGCGCGATGGCCACGAATCCGGTCCGGTAGCCCACATCCTCCCAGCTCCATTGATCCGTGGTGTCCAGCTTGTAGAAGCAGAAGACAAGTACGACAACCAGATTAGCCAACACAACAGCCACTGGCCCCAATGGCGCGAAGTGGAAGGTATGGCTGCGGATCGATACGGGAGGCAGCGTCGCATAGCTTGCCTCGCGGACAATTGCCGTGAGAGTGGCATATGTGTTGAAGAACAGTGACTTGGGCTTGGACGGAGTGAGGGAGGTATCCCGAAGTCTGCATAGGTGAGCACCGCAATATTTGGCCTGCATGAAGAATTTACTGACCTTTGATAGGCGAGGTAGCGGTTGAGGAGGTTCACCACGGTACCCGCGGCGATAGCACTGCCTATGACCACCCAGTACATTTTCTGGAGATAGAAGAGACCGGGCACGCCAGCCCCCATGGACATGTGGCCCATGCCCGACATTGACATGTCCATGTCCATCTTGGCGGTGATTAGCGGGGGTCGAATATAGATGGATGGACAATAAACGACACTATCCCCGGCAGGAGTTGGTGAAAGACAATCGATATACAGAAAGGGAGGGCCGGAATATCAACGCATCTCGTTTCAAAGCAGCAACACAACACACACAACCTGTCTGTTACGGAGAGGAGGGGGAGGTTGTCGGCTATTCAGAGTTTCATGTCGCAGTGGTGTGCAGCGTCGTGAGTACATGTAAGAGTAAGAGTAAGTGGGTAAGTTAAGTGATGAGTTGGAAATTGGAATAAAATCATGGGTGGGGGGGGAAATGCATGGTAGACAAGACAAGGCTGGATGGGACCTTTCCACAAGAGCAGACCTAAACAGCCCATGCATGCCATGCCCAGTGCCATCCCCACCTGTGAGTCTTGAGCCATGATAACCAGGAATTGAATTGATAATAATCTTCTCACTTTGTAAACGAATCGAAGTAGTCATAATCTGCTCACCTCCACCGCCCGCTTGTCCGCTGCTTTCGGCCTGGCGGGCGATTCCGCGCCCCGTGATTGGCTCGTTGGACCTAAAATGTGCTCAAGCGCCAAACCGAGTCGGGCCAAAATGTGCTCAATCTCGGAATGAACGTCTTCGCTTCAATTTAGGTAGAGCATGATTATCGCCCGTCCCGGCTTGATCAAACTCAAGGATCCAGAACTGACTGCTGGTGGTGGCCCGCCATGGCTAAGATATCGTCGCGGATCGGCCCTCTTCTTGCTCCTCTTTCTTCTTCTCCTCTTTCTTGATCCTCTTCCTTTTCAACTAACATCGTCCGCTGTCTTGATTCTTTGATGCTCTCCCATCCTACAAAAACCACCTTCATCCCGAAATCAATCTGATCGCCTTATATCCGAGACCACCACCACCACCACCATCACCACCACCACTCTCCATCAGCCCGCAAAAGCCAAACCAACCTACCCCTCCTACCCCGCGCCCATCATGGACATGAGCAGTATGGATTCCAGCTCTTCCTCATCCTCATCCTCGATGTCCATGGCCATGGTCTTCACGAACAGCCACTCCACCCCGCTCTTCTCATCGCAATGGACGCCGACCTCCAGCGGCAGCTACGCGGGCACGTGCATCTTCCTGATCGTGCTGGCCATCATCGGCCGGCTGCTGGTGGCCTTCAAGGCGCTGATGGAGCAGCGGTGGCTCAGCGCGCACCTGCAGCGGCGGTACGTCGTCGTGGCGGGCAAATCCACCGAGGCGGGCCGCATCGACGCCGACCCGGACGCCAAGGGGGCCACGCTCATCACCGCCCAGGGCGTCGAGGAGAGCGTCCGCGTCGTGCGCCGCACCGCCCGCGAGCCCCTCCCCTGGCGCTTCAGCGTGGATCTGCCCCGCGCCTTGATCTTCCTCGTCATCACGGGCGTGTCGTATCTACTGTACGTGTCCTTTCCCTCTTAGTGCCTTTCATCGTCGAGGAAAGTCATTTAAGCTAATGGTTTGTGGTTGCAGCATGTTGGCCGTCATGACCATGAACGTGGGCTACTTCTGCTCTGTCCTGGCCGGCGCGTTCCTTGGGGAACTCGCGGTGGGTCGGTATATTCAGTGGAATGAACATGATCACTGAACTGCTTTTCCTCGCTGTGTTCTTTTGGTGTTGAGTGGGCGTTGGATTTTGCTTGCATTGCGGCTTAGCATGGGGTTTGTTTTACTCTGAGATACCTTTTTTTTTCGACACGAACCGTTTACGATATACTTAGTTGGTGATGGGCTCGGCTCGTCTGAGGCATAGCTGGTGTTTTCTATGTCTCGTGGGGGGGCGTGGATGGGTGGATTGTATATAGACATGGATGCTGGATATACGTACATATCATCATTGACCGTAAACTGTCTAGCGATCAGTAAGCCTCGATGTAGAACGTTACGGTCTGCAACAACAATAAAGCCCTTCATGTCCAGCCGGCGAGTATCGCTTGCAGGTTGGCCGGAGACAGCCGCAACATGGCATGATCCACCGTCGATCGGCCGGGTCTCATTGGCGCGGAAATAGGCGTCCTGCCAAGATTCAACGTTTTGTTGCTCCATGAATTGCGATTTAGGGAAGTCCATGCGAAGCTCACAAGAAGACAAGAGAGCAAAGATCAATCAATTACAACTGAAGAGTCAGATGAAACGCTCTACGAGATAACTGTTCACAATTAGCAAGCACAAGCAAAATTACCCCCAAACACAAGTTAAAAACAAAAACCCCTCACACATCAAACGCACTCGTTGGCCGAACCTCCAACCCCACCCGCCGGTAGGTCTTATCGACCGCCTCCATCTGCCTGACACTCTCCCCGCCATCAACCCACACCCCGGATCCCTTCCTCCCTTTGATCCGATTCACAAACTCCTCCAACTGACACCGCCAGGTCGTCCACCACTCCTGATATGTCTCCGCCCGCTGATCCCCCGCGGGCCAGTTATACGCCTTGAGGTACTGCACCTCCTCCCAGGTTTTGGACAGCTTCCCCTTGCGGTAGAGGGTATGCGTGTCGCGCACGTCGATGCGGTGGTACACCGTCGGCAGGATCATGTTCCAGATCGCGACGGTCCGCTGCACGAAGTGCTGCGTCTCCGTGCCGCCCTGCGAGGCCACCAGGATCTCGGCGAGGGTGGCCTCGGTCCTGGGCCACGCAAACCAGGGCATGACTCGGGACCAGGTGGTTGGTAGCAGGGAGAGGAACCCGCTGCTGTTCTGCGCTGCCGCCGCCGCTGTGTATGCCAGATCGCCTGCGATGTGGGCTGTTTGGAGGCCGTCGGCGGTCTGGTATGTGGCGGAGATGGCGGTGTCGATCTGCTGCGCATCGTGAAACGGAGGGCAGTCGGAACTGCTGAGCGGGCGGGGTGGGGTGTACTGGCCTTCCACGACCACCAGGTCCTCCTCTCGCTTCGTCGAGAGGTTCAGAACCTGGCGCGCGCAGGAGAGCGGGTACGTCGCCAGGTCCATCAGGCATCCGCCGGACAGGGCGTACTGGAAGCGGATGTCATCGCGCGCGATGTAGCCCCGGGGCAGGTAGAATTGTGAGGATGTGTCGACCACGGTGCCAGGGCCCCAGGGGGTCTGGCGGGTCAGGGAGAGGAAGGTCTGCCAGGCCGGGTGGAATTGGTGGTGGAAGGCTTCGAGGAGGACGGGGCCATGGGGGGCGGTTGCGAGCGGGTGGGTGAAGAGCTTGCGGGCTTCGGTGGCGTTGGAGCACGAGGGTTTCTCCAGGAGGACGTGCTTGCCTGCTTGCAGGGAGCGGAGGGCCCATTCGTAGTGGTGCGAGTTGGGCAGCGCGATGTAAACGGCGTCGATGGTGGGGTCATCGAGGAGCTCTGCTCTGGTGTTAGGTTTGTTCGGTTCTCGTAATGCCAATTTCCCGGATGGGCCAGGTGCTGGGGTCGTGCTTGACCTTGGTATGAGCTATGCACGATGGGGATGTCGTGTCTCTTAGCATACTGCTGAGCGCGGTCTGAGTCGCGGGCAGCAACCGCTGCGATGATGGCCTCGGAATGGGACTTGGCCGGTATTATGACTGAGTTCGGGCTAGAAGGATATCAGTCAGGATGGGAACGCAAGTACTGCATACTACTGCTTCAGGGATTGGCTTACGCTATGTTGGAAGCTCCGAGTAGACCGATGCGAATGGCGCCATCCTTCTTCGCGGGAGTGGGTGGATTTAAAATATAGTAGATTCGTTGGAACAAGCTCATCGACGCCATGGTCGGTGGATTATTATGAGTTTTCTACTTGGGCTGATGTTTCGATGCGAACTGGAGATGTCTGTCATCTCTGGTGGTGAGTGCCCAAGTGACTTGGCTGGTGGTTACTCCGCACGAGAATCTTTGGTTCTACCTCGTACACAAGCGACGGAAGACGAAATTCGGTACATTATCATGGATCAGGTGCCCGTACCATCATATGGGAAGATTTCTAAATGGCAAGCTAATTGACTTCCTGCAAGCTGGTATTCACCTCCTCTACCTCCGAATCAGTGAAGCTCACACAATCTCGTTTTGGTCAATAACTGATTGATAGCTCTATCTGATAAGAGCGTGTGCCTCAAGCGAAGACAGGCTCGGAACTGCCTCGGATTTGCCCGCGCCCTGAGAAGAAATGAGCACATTTCTTAACTCAATTTGGCTTAGTGTCGCCCCCGGGGCCCGTTCCAGCCTTGACTGGGAGCTGCCAATTCCACCCTGCAGGAGAACCGATGAACAACTGAACAACCCAGAATTGAAATGGATGAAGATGGTGGATGATTGCGGGTAAACGAACCCTTTGGAACTAAACTCAGGGCCCAATTGATGCACTGCACCTGCAGCCATGGGTCCTCTTCCATCTTGTAGACTGCCTAAGAAGTTTCGGTCTTGGTCATTAATCAATTTGGCGGAACCGAACTGACAGAGCTCTCCCCATTCCTCCTCCTCCTCCGCCGAATCCGCCGTCCAAATCCACTCACTGCTGGCGCTCCCACCTGCCCTGTTCTTACATAAAGTTCTCCCACTCTCCTCTGTCCTTCTGTAGCAAGATCTGTGCCTCTGTACCCCTCTCACCCCTTTAACCGACACCCAGGATCACCATGAAGTTCTCCATCCTCCCCCTGGCGGCTCTCGCCCCCCTGGCCGCTGCCCACTTCGAGCTCAAGTACCCCACGAGCCGCGATGGCAGCGAAGACAACATGGTCAACTTCCCCTGCGGCAGTGCGGCCCAGTCCACCAACCGCACTCAGGTCTCCATCTCCGCCGGCTCCTTCCCCGTCGCGCTGTCCATGGGCCACTCGCAGACCGCGGTCGAGGTGCTCCTCGCCCTGGGCACCGACCCCGGCACCAACTTCAACATCACCCTGCACAAGACCTTCGAGATCGAGGGCCTGGGTGCCTTCTGCCTGCCCCACATCACCTTCGATGAGTCCATCCTCGGCACCAACATCACCGACGGCATGAACGCCACCGTCCAGGTGCAGAGCAACGGGGATCCATCTGGAGGTCTTTATGCGGTATGTCAATCCTGGCTGTTGGATTTGCAACGGCTTTGCTAACCAGTCGGGCGAAACCAGTGCGCCGACATCCAATTCTCCTCGACCGTGAGCTACGACGAGCCGTCGACCTGCAAGAACAACACCGGCGTCAAGGCTGTCGAGTTCACCGGCGCCGCCGCGGACCGTCACGCCAACGAGTCGACCGCCACCGGCGGTGCCCAGGACGGCTCCTCGTCCAGCAGCAGCAGCAGCAGCAGCTCCTCGTCCTCCGCGAGCGGCTCCAGCAGCACTGCTACCTCCACTGGTGCTGCGGTTCCTCTGCAGACCGCTGCCTGGGGAATGCTCGGTGCCGCTGTTGTCGGTGGTCTTGCTGTTCTGTAAACGAAGCGAAGACCTTCGTGCTACATCGAAGCTCACACCTTAATCGTGGAAGGATGCTGCTCTGCGCAGATGGTATGGCTGGAGAGAGCGAGGGAGAGACAAAAAGAGAACGAGATGATAAAAAAGCCCAACGAATGACATTTTCGAAGGAATGATCATGATTTGACGATAATTTCCCACACAACGCTTGTTTATCTGGCGATTGTATCTACCCTGTACATATTCATTTTAGTTGTCTACGGTTCTCGATACTACCTTAATATGAAGGACATGGACATGTGACCAGACTGGAGGAGACACCTCGTGCCTTGCTACTTTACTTGCTTTCAGCTTTGCGTATATTGAATGCATGCAATCTGCAGTATCATCTTGCTTTAGTACAGTAAACAGATACAGTGGATAGCCAGACTTATTGGAGTAAACTCCCATACGCTCATGAACCCGCGATTGCAAGGCAAAACAAAACAGAATCCCAAACAACGTTGATTGCGTATTCGACCGGCTCCCCAACCCAAAAGCCAGTCTATCTGCAGGTTAACTGATGATTTCCTTGGCTGGACCCTTCAGTTCGGATACACATACCTTTAGAGGTGATTCGTGACTTGCCCAACCCGGCAATCATGCAGTGCTTACAAAACAAACAACCCCTCCTCCTTGTTGGTTTATTTAACCAGACCCGCGCAGGTATATCTAGGTACCTGAGTCCCAACACTACCGGAAAATGATTTCGGATTGACACCCAGCCACTTAGTACCATACTTTACTTCCTATATCTTGTAGGCAGCAGCAAAGTCGCAAAGTTTTCCTAATACGGCATCGACCGCGGAGTTTTGAGCCTAGCCGATATAAAGGCCGTTGGCCCGTTTGTCTGGGGCCTTATCTTATCGCCCCGAGCCCGTTTGTTTCGTTCCTCCGTCAAAACAATCTCGACTTTTGCCAGACTTTCTCCCTATTGTTCTTTGGTTGTCACGTGAATCCGGGGTATTTTCTCTCCTTTTCGATTCAGTAGTTGTTGGGGTCAGTTCCTTTGCAAATATGGAGAATTACGAAAAATTACGTGCAGCAGGTGAGTTTATCTGGGGTCCACGGTTCGGGACCACCGTTACTGATCTCCACGGCCTCCAGGATATTTGGAGAAGTACTCTATAGCCCGCCATCCGCTCGGGTTCTACTACAATGTCGGCGTCACCGCCACATACACGCTACCCGAGACCTACACGCGTCCGCTGCGGGACTATGTGTACAAGGCGTGCGAGATTCTGATCGGCCAGCATCCCGCCCTCTCGGCGGTTCCCGTGAACGAGGAGTCCGACGAAGCATACTTCGTCCGCCTGCCGGAGATCGACCTCGCGCAGCCGGTGAGCTTCCACAAGCGTCTGCGGGGATTTCCCGAAGGGGACGCCACCGACAAGGAGCTGGACGAATTCCTGCAGACGCAGCACAGTACCGGGTTCACGACGCCGGGGGCACCGTACTGGCGCTTGGCGATCTTCACGGCCGACGACGAGGACAACGACGATGCATCGGCGCGGCGACGGTTCACGGCCGCGTATATCTTCCACCACGCGCTGGGCGACGGCACGTCCGGGAAGATCTTCCAACAGACGTTCCTGGAGGCGTTGACCGCAGCCGGGTCGGCACTGAACAGCGCGGCGCCCGGCGGCGAGGGAGCGACGCAGATCGTGGCCACGCCGGCGGGCACGCCGCTCCCGCCGAACCTGGAGGCCGCGCATCCCTGCGGCATCTCGCTCCCGTTCCTGCTGGGCGCGGTGGTCAAGATGAAGTTCGGCGGGCGGGACCGCGGGCTCTGGACGGGCGCGCCGGTCTTCACGCCGCTCGAGGCGCGGGCGCGCCACCTCGTCATCCCCGCCGCGGTGTCGGCGGCCTTCCGCCAAAGCTGTCGCCGCAACGGCGCCACCGTCACGGCCGCCGTCCAGGCGGCCATGGCCCAGGCGCTGTTCGCGCACCTGCCCCCGCAGTGCACCAAGCTGCGGCTCACCGGCGCCATCTCCGTCCGCAAGTGGCTCACCCAGCCGATCCCGGAGAAGTCGCTGGGCGTCTGGGTGATGGACTTCGGGGAGAGCTACTGGCGCAAGGGCCTGCCTGTCACCGACGCAGGGGCCTTCCCCTGGAAGGAGGCGCAGCGCTCGCGGGAGACGATCGAGCGCGTGGTCGCGATGAAGGGGAAGAACACCGGCGTGAATCTCCTCAAGTACGTGTCCGGTTTCTCGGAGTTTTTCCGATCGAAGCTCGGGAAGCCTCGTGGGGAGAGTATCGAGCTTTCGAATATCGGGGTCCTGAGTGCGTCGGATGAGGCCCGGTCAGACCCTTCGAAGCCCCAGATGGGTCGGGTGATCTTCTCGCAGAGCCCCAACGCTGCGGGCGCCGCGATCGTGGTGTCGGCGATCTCGGGTGGTGATGGCTGTTTGGTCCTGTCGTTTGGATGGCAGCAGGGTGTTGTGGAACCGGAGTTGGTTTCGGGCACGATTGACTCGGTGGAGAAATTGGTGCATCTTGCGGCACAATAAATTGGGGGTCATGAGAGGGGAGATTTCTTTTGCTGTTGTTCATCACCATATATTGCGACCTGCGGCTGCGAAGGGCCTGCACATAGTATCTAAAACCTGAGTACCGTTAATTCTAATGCCATCTGACTTGATCCGCTATACGGTGTATTTAGCGAGTGGATTCAGGCACCAGGGGGCCTCGAACCTCTGGATCCTTTGGGTGGGACAGCCGAGGCGGTGAGTCGGCGAGTCTGGCGGCAGAATTGCGGGGAAGATGGGACAAAATCCAGGGCCCTTCTTTCTGCAATCACAGACTACTCCTTGTCGCTTTCCTGTGTTTCTCCCGTTGACGAAAGACAAGAATAGACCAAGATGTCCTCTCGCGCTCCTTTCGTTGTTCCCGCGCTCACCAAGCACACCGCTACGGTGATTATGGCCCATGGTTTGGGCGACAGGTAAACGGTCTCCCGTCCCTATACTGAAGATCCCGTTCTTGAACTAACTTCTGGTGAATAAATCTAGTGGTGCTGGATGGTATGTCCCCCATGATTTCTATTCACGGATAAATATCTACGAACTCGGCTTAGCGCGATGGATTATAGTACAATGGATGAAGTGAGGCTGAATAAAGCAATCTGGACAGGATGGCACTCGCCCAGAACTGGCGCCGCCGTGGCGTTTTCGACGAGGTCGCCTTCATCTTCCCCAACGCGCCGATGATCCCCATCACCGTGGTACGAGCATACGCGATACCCTTCTGATTCAGCAACGCAGTGGACTGATTCGAGCCCATACTTGTCATTGATTAGAACTTCGGGATGACGATGCCCGGCTGGTACGACATCACTAAGCTCGGACGTGATGTGAGTTGCCCCTCGCCGCGAGAGATATACCTTACAGTATGTGGGAACGATGCCACTAAACAACCGGTCATAGTTGGACTTCGAAGAAGCCATCCGCAACCAGGACGAACCGGGCATCCTGCGCTCGCGCGAGTACTTCAACAGCCTGATCAAGGAGCAGATGGACAAGGGGATCAGCGCGTCGCGGATCGTGCTGGGCGGGTTCTCGCAGGGCGGCGCGATGTCGCTGTTCGCGGGGCTGACCAACAAGGAGAAGCTGGGCGGCGTGTTCGGACTGTCCTGCTACCTGCTCCTCAGCGACCGGATCAAGAACTACATCCCGGAGGGCTTTCCCAACCAGGGCACCCCGTTCTTCCTCGCGCACGGCCAGGAGGACGAGGTGGTGCGCTTCGACTTCGGCAAGCAGTCCAGCGAGAAGCTCAAGGCGCTCGACCTGGAGAAGGTCGAGTTCCACTCTTACCCGTACGTGCTGTATTCCCCATTTGAGGCTTCGCGTCGTTCCCGCCGTAGCGATCTTCCGGCTCACACTCGCGGTTTTCCTAGTTACTTGGGCCACTCCGCCGATCCCGAGGAGATTGAGGATCTTGAGAAGTTCCTGCATAGTGTTATCCCCCCGGAGGGCGAGGGGCAGACCGACGGTGCTGCTGCTGGCTTATGAATTTATGATCAACCTCATCATGATACCTCTGTACAGACTTGGGGCCACTGGGGGGGCAGGGGGTCTCCGATGGTCAGTTTTAGCCTCGCTTTAGCCATTGTTGTTCTGTTGCTTGCGGTTCTGCTCTCGCGATTCGGTGGTTCCAAGGGCAAGGCGAGCCCGCGGGATCCTGTTGTCAGGAAACAGGATTGAAATATGTTTCGCCTTCGCCTTCGCCTTCGCCTTCGCCTTCGCCCAGACATACAAAACTAATCAATCTGGATGAAATCAAAAGCGTACTTGCTGTGTCACAATAGTAGTGATTATATATACTCGCTTCCCCCCCAAAAAAGGAATATCTAATTCCCCCCCATCAAAACCCTCCGAATCGACCCCTCCACCGCCGCAATCATCGCCTCCGTGTTTTTCACATCAAAGGGCACTAGATGCCGCGAGCCATGGTCGTAGAACTCCGCCTGCGCCGGGTCGCACACCCCGTACAGGCGCATGCTGTGCGGGTACAGCGGGTCCTGCTTGCCCACGATATGCGTCGTGGGGATCGTGATGGGGTACTTTTTAGTGGTGGGTTCGATCAGCTCCATCCCCGCTGCGTCGAAGGGAGAGGCGCCGCAGATGAACACGGCCAGCTTGAACAGCGGTGCCGCGGACGGGTGCTGCTCCGCGTGCTGGATGATCATCGCGCTGGCTAGGGCGCAGCCTTGCGAGAAGCCCATGACGCCGTCGAAGGGGCCCTCCGTCGCGATGATCTGCTGCACGTACTCGATCGCGAGGCGCAGGTTGTCGCCCGGCCGGGTGTCGCGCGGGTAGTGGCTGTAGAAGGGGCCGTCGAAGACGTCCTTGATTTCTGCCCGTGGGGTATGGGATGTTAGGTATTGTAGGTTTGAGGGGGTTAAGGGTGGGAGGTTGGTTTGGTTTGGGTAAGGTTTTGAATTGGATGAGGGGTCATCTGACTTACCGGGTTCACCCTCGGTTTGCACTCGTCCATTGATGAAGGTGAATGTATGGCCTTTCTTCTCGAGGGCGTAGGTTATCCCGCCTGGTGATTTATTCAGGATTAGTATCGCTTGGTGCTGCTGATGACTCGGGTCCGGTCGACTCCCATCGGGGGCACGGCATACCAGCCTGGATCTCGAAGATCTAGATGCCCGCGAGTCAACTTGTTGTGCCCCGCCAAACATATTCGGAGGGGGAGGGGGGGGGGCTTGAATGTAGATCAAGACTGCATGGACAGACGTACTTCTCCGCTGGTCCCAGCACCGTGTAGACAGAGGAATCGCATTGTGGATTTTAAGCTTTTGGTATTTTAGTGTGCTTGGAAACTTGGGTCGAAGTGGGAGGAAGAGGAGATTCCAGAGCAAGTAAAGTAGCCTTATCAATAAAGGTACAGTACCGATCAATCAAAACACAGCCCACCCACCGAGCCTGACGGAGTGGCCGCGCCGCGGGCATGTCGGGTTGACTCCGACAACGGCTCCAGCGTCAGCAGCGCCCCGACCATTCTAGGCTAGCATGCTTAGTGACTGCTACTAACTTACCATCCAAAAGTGTCTGTTCTGCAGTTCGCAACCTCTGTCAGATTTGATTCTCACGAACCACCTCACCCCCGCTCCGCCTTCGTCGCATCACATACTACAGTCGAATCTCCCGAATCGCATTGGGATGTTGAATATGACATATCCTCCGATTGGACATGGCTTCCCGTACCACAATCTGGCCGCGCCCGTGCTTTCCGGAGGCGACTTTTTGGGCGTCTCCTGAACCTGCGACTGAGAGAAGCTCGGAACTCATACTCCATTCCCCTCAAGCTGTGTTCTTGTAGGGTTCTCAAGATGTCAGCTTCTATCTCGTCGTCCCACAGGGCCACTTGGGGCGCATTGCAGCGCCGCTCGGAGTACTATCATAATTTTGGCCCTACGCTAAACGAACTCTCGTTCGGTCTCCTGGGGTGGTCCTTCCAACCTCAGCGGGACATTGTTGACCTCTCGGGGAAGGTCATTCTTGTTACAGGAGGTATTTTCCATTTTTGTCTCCATCAATCACCAATGTTAGGGGTGCATGCTAATCTTCACCACTTGGGATAGGCAACACCGGCCTCGGAAAGGAAACCATCGTCCAACTCGCCCAACACAACCCATCCCGCATCTACCTCGCCGCGCGTAATGAGTCCAAAGCCCAGGATGCCATTGCCTCGATCCGGGAGAGCATCCCATCCGCAGTCGACATCAGATACCTACCCCTCGACCTGGGATCACTGGAATCGATCCGCGCCGCGGCCGAGCGCTTCCGTGCGGACTGCGACCGTCTGGACACCCTGATCCTCAACGCGGGCACGATGAACAACCCGACCAAATTCACCGAGGCCGGATTCGAGCTGCACATGGGTACGAACCACATCGGACACTTCCTGCTCACCACCCTGCTGCTACCGATCATGCAGAAGACCGTGGCGCTTTCTCCGGACGTGCGCGTCGTGTCTCTGAGCTCGGCTGCCAATGCGGGCAGCCCCCCATTCGAGGTCATGACTTCCGCGTCCGCTCTGGCAGAGACTTCAGGCATGGTTCGGTATTGTGCATCCAAGGCGGCGAACATCCTCTTCGCGGCTGAGCTGGCCCGCCGGTATCCGGAGATTCTCTCCGTCGCGGTACACCCGGGCGCGGTGGCTAGTGACCTATACGAACATACGATGCAGAGGAACCCTGTCTTCAATCTGGGGCTGAAGGTCATCAAGAGTGGATTCTGTCGGTCTCTGCGCACGGGGGCGCTGAATCAGCTGTGGGCTGCCGGAGCGAAGCGGGAAACGCTGGTTAACGGCGCTTACTATGTGCCTATCGGCGTCCATGCCAGTGGAAATCCGTATGCCAAGGACGTGGAGATGGGGAGGCGTCTGTGGGAGTGGACAGAACAGCAGATTGCTGAGAGGAGCTGATTCCCTCTGATTATTGCCTTCCGTGACTGATGACTTTTCGCATTGTAGCATAGCGTTTCTGATGGGCAGAGGTCTTCATCAATAGCTCTTGTGAACTTGATTGTAAATATGTGATGATAAGGACTAAAATCACGAAGTATCTCAAATAGTGATGCTACGTCATGCCGGTACCTCATTGAGACCATTGGGAAGGGGCCGGCGGGCGCGGGAACATCAGATTACCCGAATAGGAATGAGATGCCGGGGCTCGGGAGGTGAATATCCAGGGTTCCTGATACAAGTAATTAGCCACCACGGGCTACAACTTAGCTCAATACAGTTGTTTTGATGATCATTCCATTCAATGCAGAAGTTCTGCCAATGCTAAGTGCGCCTACAACCTGCCATGGACCCAGTGCTGCTCTATGCGTTCGATCCGTGACACCGATCGCCAAATGGTTTGCTGGCCGTCAGCAGCGGGCGATCGTTAGGGTTTAGCCGAGGAGCCTCTCTAAACTCCCTCGTCGAGTTTTTCGCCCACAACCACCACCATGGCAGATCTCCGATCACGATGATAGTAGCAGATCCAAACCATTGAGGATGTAGCATGTAATCATAACCATCATTGTAGAAGCTCTAGGAGCTATGCGTAGTGTAGAGGGCCATGCGACTCTTAGCGAGGGGCGCGGTGGTCTCGCCGTGTCGGCGTTGCTCCCCACACAAACCCGCCCGGCGCATCATCAGCAACGGTTGCTGCTGCTTGCGTTCACCACCTCGTTGTTCTCTCCCACTTCCACTCCTTCTCCTCTTCTCCCTCAGCACCATTCATCATCATCTACGGTAGGTCTTCCCCCCCCCCTCTCTCCTGTGTTCTTGCCAGCCTTATCACCGGAATTCTTGCTCGTCACCCATTCGGTCCGTCACTTCAACGAAGAAACCCAATTTTCCCTTTATCCCACCCGACCGAGAAAAGTGTCACGTCGCTCTCACCTGACCTCTCTACCCACTTCCATCACCACCACCACTACCACCAAACCACCACCACTATTCCCAAGACATCCACCACACAAACCGCACGGGTCTTACCGAACGTACATCTCTGACAAGTCTTGTTTGATTTTCGCTTCTAGGTTCAGGTTCGAACGACCACTCAATTACCTTCACAATGGATCAGGCAAAGTTGGCTCGGATGCAGGCTAGCGTGCGGATTGGTATGTGCCTTTTTTGAATCTTCTGTCATAATTTTCCCCGTCCACCCCGATGCCCCTCCCCTCCCTCGTCATGTTGAAGGCCAGCTCCCAGCCGCTATGGCTCTTCCTCGCCAACGCAGAGCTCCTTGACCATCGCAAGTCCTGTGCATGAGAAAAGACTCGCGCGACTTGCGTTCTACCCCAATCCTTTTTGGATCTTCAAATTACCTAATGTCTTCTCAATGGAAAAGTGTTTGCTGACATATCTCTCTTCTGCGCTTGGTAGGGTACGTATCTCTAAACACCTTCAAGCAATTTCAATGTCCCTTGTGCACCCAGAACACCGTTCAACCATCCATCCTGTTCCTTCAGCATGCAGAATGAAGCGCGCCCGCCCCACCGCCAAAATTCAGCCCGCAATTTAAATCCCCCCCCCCCTTCTTCTCACACATGACAACTATCACTATCGATCGAATCATCGCTAACCTTGTCCCCCTCAAAACAGAGGCAAGGGTACTCCCCGCCGCAAGGTCAAGAAGGTCCACAAGTCCTCCGGTGCCGATGACAAGAAGCTCCAGGCCACCCTGAAGAAGATGAACGTCCAGCCCATCCAGGCCATCGAGGAGGTCAACATGTTCAAGGAGGACGGCAACGTCATCCACTTCGGTGCCCCCAAGGGTAATTTTCTCTTTCTTTGCTGCTCACCACTACAAACCAATACTAAACTCCTGTCTCCCAAACAGTCCACGCCTCCGTCCCCTCCAACACCTTCGCCCTCTACGGTAACGGCGAGGAGAAGGAGCTCACCGAGCTCGTCCCCGGTATCCTGAACCAGCTCGGCCCCGACAGCCTGGCCTCCCTCCGCAAGCTCGCCGAGAGCTACCAGAACATGCAGAAGGCCCAGGGCGCCGAGGGCAAGAAGGACGATGAGGAGGATGACATCCCCGACCTCGTCGAGGGCGAGAACTTCGAGAGCAACGTCGAGTAAAATTTGAGATTCTAATATAACGAATATTACTTCTGTTGTTTATTTTTGTCACGTGTGTGGGTTCGCCTTTGGTGTCTGGCGAAGGCACCTCTCTGAACCTCTCTGCGTGTGTGTCTGTCCCCGTGAAGGGGCGATCTGCATTCCATCAGTACTACTACTTACTACCCCCTCTTCAAGAAGCTGGAGTTTCTTTTTGTTTGCGGGATTTTCGAGATCTTGTCTCTTACCATTTCGGAAAAAAAAAATCTAGGTTGAGGTCCTGATTTGTTCGGGGTCAAATTTTTACCATTGAAACAGAATCAAAACTGCGTCTGTGGGATGTACTGAGAATACTGGTGGTCAATTTCGGTGGTTGGCTTTTCATGTATTGCAGTCTGTATCTGTTTTGGGTAAGTTACTCGTGAGTGTTATGGCTCAAGGTATAGATCGGCAGTCGATCCGAGTGTATAGCATTGTAAGGGTTGCACCTGCAGTACATAGATGTTACCGGTAGTGTTGGCTCTACGTCAGCCAGCTAGTCAACCTACATAGAACCCCTCAGCAGGAAACCCCTCTTTGCCGGATATATGCAGACGTCCTTTCATTACCTAGTAGTCTATACGCAAAAAATCCATGTGCCTATGCAATTATCCCCTCCTCTCCACGCGCGTAAATGAGTGCAAGCAAGCAAAAGATCCGTAACGCCCTTTTTCACTCATCAAACACTACAACCACAAAAATGCAAGTAGAAATGGAAAGTTCATCAACAGCGGAGACGACCAAAAAAAAACAAGACTAGGCGGGGAGATATGAATATAACTTGAGACCAGACTTTTTTCTTTTCACCCTTGTTTGCTCTCTTTGACATCAAGAAGTGTGAGCAACCACCGTTGGCGCAGACATGAGAAAGGGTTTATAGTACAGGATGGATATGGTGTTTTTGCTTGCGCAGTTGCCACCAGCTGGTCTGGGCCCGTCTGTCTGTCTGTCTTCTTCCACTTTTCTGGCTCCGAGTCAACATCGACATCACATCAATCCCAGGAGAACGGGCGGCGGGGGTCCAGTTCCTTCAGCCCCATCGAGGAGCCGGAGTATTGGAGGGCTTTGGTTGTTGTCGTGGTATCATCGTTGGGGTTCTCGATGGCTTCCAGCGGTGTTCGCGAGAAGAGGGGGCCTTTATCTGGGAACGCGGAGCGGTGGTGTAATTGTTGTTGTTGGGATTGCGCTGCGGGAGATTCCGTGGCCGTGGTCGTTGCTGCTGCGGACGTTGCGACAGCTGCCTCCGAGGACTCTTCCTTCAGGCCGCAGATGTCTGAGCCAATGATTTGGTCGATCATGTACCAGAACCGCCAGTATGTGTTGGACTTGTCGTAGTCGAAGGCGCCGTCCTCGCGCAGTTGCGGGCCGTCGCCCACGATATCGCCCGTGAACCAGCTGAGGATGGGGATGGAGCGCAGCACCCGTTCCGTCAAGGTGGGCTGCGGCGGGAGGGCCTCGGTCAACGGCCGCAGTTTCGTCCGCCGCACCGTGGGGATATGGGTCATGAAGTCGGATTCGGGTTTGGGTGGTGGCGCAGCGGAGGGGGCGCTGGTGACGGAGCGCTGCTGCAGCAGCAGACTACCCGTCGGCGGCTGCTCGAGCCCCATGGCTGTGGTCGAGCTGGCCGTCGGCGTGGAGTCCATCGAGTCCCCTTCCTCAGCCATCAGATCCGCCGGCACCGAGGAGGACAGGTTGCCGAAGGCAAACGACCGGGGCAAGGTCTGGCGCTCCTTGTCGGAGCCCGTGGGCAGGAACGCGGTGGAATGCGAGGTCGTCAGCGTGCGGGGCGCCTTGGACTGCTGCACGCGCAGCGCCTCCGCCGACCCGGCCACGATGGGCGCATCCTCCGCGGGGCCGCGGCCATGGTACAGCTCACAGAACACCAGGTGCCCGTCGATCTCCTGCGGCGAGAAGAAACACGCGCGGTCCGCCGCCGTCGTCGAGTCGAACGTGACTTTGATCCAGTGGTACCCGCCCGCGTAGCGCTTCGACTTCCGGTTCGCATCCGCCGACAGCCCCGTCCGGATCACCACGTCCCCGCCGCTCAGCAGCTGCGAGAACCCCGTCGGCGCGTGCGGATCCGTCCGCGGGTAGTCCTCGCAGATAAACCCCTGCGAGATCCGCTCGTACTTGTCCAGCACCTTCCACTCCCCGTCCTTGCTCTTGTACCCGTACAGGATGCACTCCGTCGCGACCTTCTCCGCTTCTTGTTGCTGCTGCTGCTGCTGTTGCTGTTGTTGTTGCTGCTGTTGCTGCTGTTGCTGCTTGCGCAGGCTCTCCACGTTCGACGCCGACGCGGATTTCGGTAGCGTGTGGCTGTGCACCTTCTCGTCCTCCTGCTGGGCCGCGAACAGGCGCCCGAACTCCGTCACGTTGGGGTTCTCGCGCTTGGCCGCCGGCGTGCCGGTGCGGGTGCGCGACCGTGTGTGTTCGTACCGGGCGTTGCGGCGCTTGCCGAATGGGCCTGATTCCTCGGGGGCGCGGCGTGGATTGCGGGATTCGCTGTGTGAGAGAGTTGACTAATTAGCATCGCTTGCTTTTCATGATCCCCCAGAAGGATTCCATGTATCTGTGAGGGAACCTCCCCGGCAAGGATGTGCGCTGGTTCCCACTTACTCCTTGTAAACATAACCCCAGGGCAAAAGCTCGCCCTTCTCATTTCTTGCACGCTCCTCCGGGGGGACAAAGTGATATTCCATGCTGACACGGGGAAAATTTTCGAAATGCGCTTTTTCGTAACTTGGAAGAAAGAGGCCAGAGTTATGGCGGTCGACGCAATCGCTGAGAAAGAAGGATGTGCAAATAAAAAAAAGGGCTGGAGAACGGGGTAGTTTGATGGAAGTGGAGTGATGAAGCTTGGATAACCACCAGCCCAAAAGTTTTGGGGTTTCCGCCGCCCCATAAACAGTCGTGTTAGCCGGGATACCGTCACGTGAGGGGGCGGTCTTGGTATGTAGATTACAGAGAGGTAGATGGGTATGAATTGGACAGCTTGTTTTACGTATTTGTAAGTGCGAAGTTGTCATTTGGCTTAGATTAAGAATATGGGGTCTCTCTGTGAATTGTTCTTGGGCGTTGTATTTGACAATTGGGAGGTGCTGTCGAGATTCTTGTGCCAATGACATATTTTTCGTCGAGTCTGTGGTCCGTTTCCTCCATGTTTATGGAGGAATGCTTTTAGCACGTTGCATCTCACATTTGAAGGCCAATGATGCCTCGGCAATCTTGAGGATGATTGTGTTGTTCTATACAGTCTCCATCATACATAAGAGCAATAAGCTTTAAGAAGTGATTCGACTAATCAATTATCGAATCAATACTCGTGACATTATCCCGGATCGCAATGACTTTGCCTATACTACAAATTTCAGGACCTCAACCACAACGCATATGGTATGTTATTGGCCAGAAGCTGCACCCATTACCATCAAGCAAAGTATACATCTAGTCTTGCCACAGGAAAGTAATCTGTCCAGGATCCCCAGCGAGACCGCACACAGCGCCGAAGTCTCCTACCTCCAACCGCCTCCTGTCAACATAACCCACAAAATCCCCCAAAGGACAAGACAGCCCCGGGCCCGGATTTACAGTATGGCAGCGGCGTTACCTTCTCATTGATAACCACTCGTAGGAAGGTACGCCCAGCATCGCCATGTGCACCCTCACCCCCGGACGAGCAGGTCATCCGCTCCAGGACGACCCGGCCACCCATGGGCATCACCGATGAAGTGCGCCAGACCCGATCCGACACCATATGAGTAACCGGGAGCACCGGATCATACTTCGGATCAGCCATGATCTCCAACGCCGTCAGAAAGGGTGCGATATCCCCATCATGCACAATATTTCACTCGGAAGTCAATTTTCCAGCCAGGTCTTCCACTTTCACAAGTGCCCAACTCACAAACTAAAGAACAAGGTCCCAGCACCGGGCCCCCGCCTCAGAAGTCCCGTCGTAGCATTCAGCCAAAGCCACCCCATCGCCCCAGCGTATGGGTTTCCGGGCCCCGCGCGATAGAAGTGCAGCACGTCGCGCGCATACTCGAAATGCTCCCAGTCCTCGCGCGTGAACACCGCGCACTAGGGACTCGACCCACGCACCAGGGTCTCGAACCCGCACATCTCCTGCATACTGTAGACCTCGGCGTTGCTCAACGGCCACAGCGCGGAATTATTTGCCTGCGTGGTGAGCAACAGTCGCTCCGCGATCGCGGGGATGTAGGCTTGCTGGAACCGCGCGAGCATCTGGATCCCGTAGTCATGGCCGCGGTCGGGGTCCTCGAGGTATCGGAGGCAGGTGTCCCCCGGAGTGAGGGTGTCAGCGCCGCGTTCGAAGATCTCGGGGATGACTTCGAGGGTGGCTTTTGCGGAAGATTCTGCTTGCCAGTCTGGAGGGGAGGACGATGATGACGGTGACCCGAAAAGCCCGGATGCGAAGTGTTGGGCGGTCTGGATGACGCGGTTGTAGTCGCTGGCCCAGAGCTTGAGTCGCGACGACCGGTTGCTGGTCAGCAGGTGTTTGTAGCGGGCGGAAAAGTGGAGGCCTGTGGTGTGGCTTTGGAGAGTGCCGGCGTAGGGACCTGTGGTGGTCAATTGGTCGAAGTCGGTGGATGGGTCGTCGGTGAAATAGGTCCAGTTGTTGAGGAATGATAGGCTCCCGTTCAGTTTGACGTTGGCGTCCCGGATGCGTTTGAGGAGCGCAATGTGGCCTTTGAATGGTTGTTGGTGTTGCTGTTGTCAGCGTATACTGACTGCAGTGAGTACTGTAGCTATGGCGGGAACAACCGTACGGCCTCCGGCTGATCGCGTCGGGTATCGCGCCCCGTGGCGTGACATCTAGTCAGAGGTTAACCAACCTTGTATAGATGACTCGAAAGCGTATATAAGGAGGGATTGATACCATGTGCACCTGGTCAATGACGCATCCATCGAGGTCGGGCCCAAAGCTTTGTGAGTAGTGTACACCGCCACGCTTCTCGATCCAGGGTCCATTACCCCCTAAGTGATGATGAATATTCCAATCGTCATTCTGAGATTGCTCAGTAGTAGTCAGAAGACCAAGGAGATATTGTGGGAATTGAACATAGGTGTTCCGTTTAGAATGAAGTGATGAAGCCGAGAAGAATGGTCCTTCCCTCGGACCGAGCCATCTTTCGAAAGTAAACAAACCGTCATGGTTGTATATGATGCTAATGATGACGATTAAAAATGGGAGAGGCAATGTCCCAAGAGATAGACCGCGAAGCATGGCCGTTGCGAGCCTCCCTGGGAATTAAAGGTACGCCTGAGGCTGTGTTGTAACAAGTGAAACCAGCGCATGCAGCAACCGCCGGGCTGGATTCTCGCAAGATCGACGAGCGGACCCGCCAAGAAGTCCATTCTATCATCGCCGGGACCAGTTCTTCATTTGGTATTCATTATGTTTCTCTACTAGTGGGTCAAACTCCGAATGATATGTACCTTCGATAGATAAGTAAGATTACATGGTATCGGTCAAGTGCTATAAACAAAACGAGGACTCTTGTCTCCTAGCTCTTCAATGGCTTCATCGGTCATGCCCGCAACCTTGTCGTCTTCCAAGCCCTGCTGTCTTCGCTGATTCTTGCAGTGGTAGTACCACCACATGAGCCCATAGACAACCCCGGCAAAGCCAACCAGAGCGAGCGTGACCGCATTGCCGCGAACATAGCGCGGTGCTTCCTCGGTTTTGTACAGGAAAGGGGACATGACGCCACTGATGTTGCCAAACGTCAGCTGCAGACCCGTCGCAAACGTCCGCTTCCCATATCGCGGCAGCGTGGTCGGTAGCCATGCAAGCGGCAGCCCCACGGTCACATATAGCCCCAGGGCGATAAGCAATGCGCCGAAGTAATGTACTCCGGATGATGAGTCAGAGATCAAAACCCCGTACCCGACAACAGAGATCACAGCGAAGATGCAGACGTAGATCCCACGGCGCTGGGTTCGATCGCTGATCCAAGCGACCAGTAGGTATACAATGGCGCCAAGCGCATAGCACGGAATAGTCAGTGCCTGAACCTCAGCAGTGGACCACTTGCCCATTCCTTTGATGATCGTGGGCAGAAAAGTGCTGTAGCCGTAGAGCATCGTGTCGACTCCAAATTGGGCAATGCAGAATGCGTAGATCCTCCAGTCCAGCGCGCCCTCCTTCACATCCGCCCAGTGAAACTTTTGCGCGGACGGAGTCTGGCCGATATGGCGACGACGCAGACGGACGACCATGGCTTTCTCGTCGTCAGTGAGATAGTACGCTGTATCAGGCTCGTCGGCGAGAAAGAACCAGGTCAAAATACCCAGGATGACGGTGGGAATCCCTTCGATGATCATGATCCATCGCCAGCCCCGCAGCCCCGCGACGCCATCCATGAAGCCAATGCCGTACGCAAGAAGACCCCCGAAGGCACCAGCGGCTGCGGCGCTGCTGAATAAATAACCAGTCCGGAGTGCGATCTCCCGCTTGCTGTAGAACAGCGTGAGATAAGTCATCAATCCCGGAAAGAGCCCAGCCTCAACAACACCTAATGACATGAGCATAAGAGTTGAGACGAGAAGCGAATGAATTAGACTGACCTAGAAGTACACGGCAGGCAATCAAACCGCCATAACTCTGCGTGATACCCGTCAAGGTAGCTAGAATGCCCCAGATGATTGAGATTGAGGCAATGTACCGCGAGGGCCTGAGCTTCTTGATCACCAAGTTGGACGGGACTTCGAACAGCTTCGAATAGATGTCAGTGGTTGCGTCTGACTAACTGGTCTCAATGGGAGCGTACGCAGTAGGTAACAAACAGAATGGATACTGCGACCTGATACTGATTGCCCACTAGGCCTAGATCTTCTTCCATGCCATACAAGCGGGCATTGCCAATGTTAACTATTGGATCGCATTAGCAACAGCTTGTAGACCGCCAGCGAGCCTGGTGAAAGAGATCAACTGCATGAGATAGACCCACCTCGATCCAGAAAGCTGAACAAGTACAGAAGCACAACGAAGGGGATGATGTGGATGTCTATTTTCCATATCAAGTGGCGTGCCCCTTTTTCGTCTGACAAAGATAAGTCCGATCTATCATCGCCATCTACGCCCAACGAAGCCCGTGTGGGAGATCGTGCTTCGGCGTCTGCCTTGGGCTCTCTGTTGTAATCCATGGGAGGAGGAGGTGGTGGTGGTGATTGATGGCTGCCTCGGCTGGGATCCCCGCAGGTGTGTCTGGGCGCTCAGATGAACTTCCCCGTGGGGTGATCTACAACAGCACCATGTATCAGAATGCAGTCGAGGGTTATCGCAACTCAGGTACCAGAGAAGGCAGGAGACCACGTACACTGACAGCCGTCACACCTACTACGCTGCAAGTGAGAGGAGGCAAAAAGTGCCCTAGAAAAATTGAGAGATTTCTAATCGCAGTGGCCAAGGATCGCCAAGGATCTAGACCCGATAATTCTTTCCTTTTTTCTTCTGCAGTTCAGGTGAGCAAATTGAGGATGGTTCATTAAGAGGACTTATGGAAGTGTCCTTTTGCCATGAGATAGTCGCATGGAATCAATAGCATGGACGAGTTTGTATTGTTGGGTGGGCGTTGTTGGTGATGCGTCTTAAAAGACCCTGAGCTGGATCGTCCTTGAACAAAACTTAAAATGGATGGCGATTTGCACCAGCTCCATGGCTCACAACACGGGCCAACATTCTTGGCAATGCAAGGATGCAATAGTCAGAACCTGCATGATAATGATCTGTTGCAGATGATCAGATCTGCACTCGTCAATCACTAGTGAGAACGTCACTGTGATGCGCTCGAACAATCGACTTTCCACTCCTCCCTGTCCCAAGGAGGATAAGAGCACCATGACCCTATGCGAAAAAAAAAAAACCACGTACTTGTAGGAGCTACAAGCCGCCACAACCTTTAGCCAAGCTGTTGATACGCAAGCACTGCTTTGCGCCCTGTAATGCGAATCGTTGACAAGATTCTCACCCAAATATTAGCATTCAGAGTATGAGTAAGACAATGCCAACCTGATTCAGAGCATGTACCTAGAGAAACTGGTCATTGGCTTGCTTTATACGAACGTTGCACGGGGATACCACTGCATCGATTTCTACACTTGATCAAATGCCGTAGATAAGAGATTAGAGTGGCCACTGCTTCAAGTGGCGGCAATGGAGACTCCTTAGCTGTCATTCTTTTCGAATCCCAGCGACCTCTAGTGATGAAGTTGCTGTCACTCCTACAACCAAGTATCATCGCGCGGGCTTCTGAGCTGACCCTGACTGCGTACCCACTGTTTCTGATATTTGTGTCGATCTAGTGCCTTTAAGCTTTGAGTTGATGCGGAATGTACACTCCCAGTTGCATGGACCAGATACTAATCGGACTGTGGTGAGAAGACGACATTCAAAGAGTGAAACCGAGAGTCATCATCAAATGACGCTCTGAGAAGTGTGGATGGCAATCGAATAGTTTATCAGATGATTTATAGTCGTACAAGGGGTTCCTCAATTTGGATGTGACTAGTTGAACTTTCGTAAAGATCGGTAAAGCTTGTTGAAACGAGCAAGAATACGTATCGAAGTAAACGGGTCAGTAACTTCTGCGCGCGATTGATATCAAGTTGACATGACGTCAAAGATCATCTTGTAATATCGGGTATTCAGCATTATGTCTGCTCTCTTGTCATTTCATGCACACGATGAAATAGTTGAAGATCCCAGGTTAGGTCAATATGAGCAACTCAGGCTGAATCATACCATAGCCGTCGCCCAATATGTCTCAAACTCATAGAAACTACCAGCCCGAGATCTACTCTCAAGGAGCCACATCAGGCGTCACTCCTGCCGTCGCCATAGATCCTCGCCAACTTGAAGAGCAAGCAAAGACAGCCCTGGGAGTCCGTAGCTTCAACTATATTGCGGGTGGAGCACGAGAAAAAGCCACGATGGTCAGACAGCAATCGGCTGGCGTTTCTTCAATGAATGATGTTAGGTCTATTCCCGCGCAGCTGAAAAGCCGAAATGCGGAAAAGTATCGCATTGAAGTCCCCGAAATGCTGACGCAGGTGGGCTGAGGATTCACCTATCTGTGATCATATGCAGGTTGCTCATTTCTTATAGATGGAAAACCAGCATATCTCAGTGAATCTTTCTGAAGAGAAATATTCCAATCCTCTCCTTGATGTCTGTTGGTTTGCAATCCACAGTCTATGCAGCCAAGGAGACAGGACCTGCAGAGGCATGTGGGAAGATTGGGTCCCGTGTACATTTAGCACAGCCAGCAGCAGCTCGATTGAAGACGAGACGAAAGCCAATGCTGACGGCACGTGATGGTTTCAGCTGTACTGGCCAATGGATGACATAACAACCTCCTCGTTGATACGTGTAAAGGATAATGGCTTCAGTATCCTTATAATCACTCTGGACACTCAGTCGCTCGCTTGGCGACCAGCTGACCTGGACAATGCCTATGTCCCATTCATCAAGGGAATGAGGAACGAGATCGGCTTCACTGACCTAGTATTCCGCGCCAAATTTGAGAAGGAATCTGGCTGGAAATCGAAGAAGACATTCTGGGCGCAGGAGCTCGCGGATATTCTCCAGTGCCCCACATACTTGGGTTCAGCTTGGTTTTCTGGGGAGGAACTGGGACGGACCGCTGCTCCTGAAGGGAATTCAGCATGTGGGTGATGCAAAGCTTGCCGTGGAGGCGGGCTGTGATGGCATTGTCGTTTCCGATCATGGAGATAGCATGTCTCAATATCACATGGGATCCCCACGCTAATCATCGCTGCCTACCGGTAGGCCGACAAGTTGATGCCGCAATCGGCTCTCTGGAAGTACTCCCCGAGGTGATTGATGTAGCCGGGGACAAACCAACAGTTCTCTTCGATTCTGGGATTCGAACGAGTGCGGATGCTATCAAAGCACTCCGTCTAGGAGCAAGGCAGTTTTTATTGGCAGGCCAGTCAATTGTGGGCTAAGTGTCGATGGGAAGAAAGATCGTTATCAGAGGGCTCCTGGCGGATGTTTGGCAAAATATGGGGCTATTGGGGATTCGGTCTGTGACGGAACGCTACCGCGACAGGATCCGAAAGGTAGTGTATCCGGGGGATAGGCACGCTATGATGTAAGAAAGTCAATCGTAGTCTCAATATTATTTCTTGGATGGAAACAGACCAGGTGGAACAATGGAGTGTGCTTACTTGAAGAGAGTTTGCGAAGACTGATTAGATCAAGGTACCAACTGTACCTACTGGACCGGTGTTGCGCTAAGAGGAAGAGCCGGAGGATCACATGTCAATGCCGGCATGACCCCTTAGGAAGTGATTGGTTCTATCCATGATTGCTTCCTTCAGTCGCCACTTGCGCCCAATTCCAGGTCGCAATTCTGGCTTTTTCATCAACCAGGAACCCCTCCCCCGGCGCAACGTTCAATGTTCTGTTTTACCAGATAAAACCCCTGTTCAACTTTTGAGTTCCTGCGACAACTGCCGCGAGACTTTCTCTCTTTCTCACGCCAGAATATTCGACTTTTTGCCCATGGCTGAAACGAAATTCACGGCACATCGGTCAAAGCGGGTCAATTCGACTGCGATTCTGATGGGTTGAGATGTCTAGACTCTTCAGTCTCCGGAAAGCATGGAAACGGGATGATATCGAGCAGGCATACGAGCAAGTCGGTCGTGAGAATGACACCCGCCACGTTTCAGCTACGTCCGGCTTGCCTCTCCTTCCGAGGCCGCTTGCCTCTATGGTATCATTCATGACTCAGTCGACTTCATTATCTCTTCGAATTGGGTCATTTGTCGGAGGCGCTGCGATAGATGGTGCGAGGACTACGACATTGACCGGGCTGGAGCTCAGCAGAGCAATACTAGAGGGGATTTTGACAAGGGCTGGGCGCGATGTTGTCATTAGGAGCAGCGGAGAGTATGGCAAGGCAGAAGCAGAGTCATTACTCGAACGGAGCGTACGTTGTCCTTGCCATGTTTTACCTTTATCAGGCTGACATTCGATTTAGCTGGCTACTTTGCATTCCACAATAACCTCGGCATCTTTTTTCGCCGCTGCCTCGTTTCATTTCTCCTCAGCTACACTCTCATCAGCAGCCAACATGTCTCAGTCACTACTCTCCACATTAGATGCAACCCTTGGCTCTACTGAATCGTCTAGAGCCATTGCTGCAATTATAACCCTCTTCCGGAGCGAGCTCCGAGACCTCAACGATTCTGAATTCGGGACCGAACTTCGAGCCGGAAGAATTGGTGTCGCAGATCTATTGGTTGGCTGTGTTGGATTTGCACTGCTCCAGCGCTGGGGCCGAAAGAACACAGAACGGCATGCACGCGGAATCGGGGGTGTGGAATCCGTATGGGACGTGGTTATCCTGGACAACGGCGTGAGAGCAGATGTTGTTGGTACACATCAAATGGAACAGCCGAGGGCTGCTATTGATGAACTGCGTGACGAGACAAATCGCTCATCATTCATGAGCACTGGGAACGATGAAGAAGTCTTCGATGCTGTACAGCGACCAGCAAGCATCATTGATTCCGCAGAAAGGTCCCACTTCTCTCTTCCCACGGAGAACTCACATCAAATCTCCGATGATGATATCCGCTTGTACATCATGAGACAATTGCCTCAAGGTTGCCGTGCTTCTATACAAACCGACCTGGTGCATGCCAGGACTATCACGGTTGAAGTATTTGATGATGACGTTGGAGAAATAGCTGCTCCACCAGGTACAATGATGATCGAGGAGAGACACCATGATGGTAATCTCTGCAGGTCTTCCAGCCAGGGTCAGCTTCCCAAACATACGATGGTTTTCAGGACCGCCTTCACCAGGTCTAACAATGCCGATGTGAGACCAGCCAGTCATCAAGACAGCATGGCATGGCAGGTGATTGACGAATGGGAACTTTCCCGGTCGCATCGAAACCTCGGGGATCCGTCGTTCGCCACAATAGGAAACAGTCTTGACGACCCATTAAACGATAGGCTGATAACCACAGACCAGCTTTCACCCGAGGATCACTCAGAGGATCCCACTACCAGCAAAGCTCGAAGTGTCAACCCGAACCCTGTCAAGCTTGATCGCGGGAATCCAGACCCTTCGTCTCTCAATAAGCGAGCAGCCACATTTAAAGATAGTCCTGTGAAGTCTTCTCCCGCGAAAGGAGCGCAAAGGGTCAAGTCTAGCAATATTGGTAAAAAGGATATTGGCAAGCGCCCATCCACGAAACTCCCTTCAGAGAAAGTAAAACCCCCACCATCGTCCGAAAACGCGATTCCACAAGGGAGACCTCTAAAGGGAGCAGCGAACGCGCGAAAGACATCAGCACAACAGAGTACTACCAAATCCGACCGCAGCGGGGCTCACGAAGCAGCAGCGACATCCCCAAAACGCGGACCATCATCACCTGTAGCGAACAGAGGTTTGCCCAGAACCCCGTTGCAAGAGCATCGTGTGAAACCCGCGGCTTTTCCAAAGACGGGCCGTCCTGATGCCCGCGAGGGTAGTCACACAGGCAATTCAAGAACGGAGTATTACGCCATGCGCGAAAAGTCAGAGGAATCTCTTCTTAACCAGACGAAGGTGTATGCTCAAGAACCACCAAACACACGACCCGGGTCCCCTGTCACGAGAAGAACCCATGTGCGTAGTAGCAGTTCTCTGTCACTGACCAGGTCAGAAAGTGATGTGACCATCTACATTAATAAGGATGGCCGTCCCAGCTCCTCTATGTTGCACCTTCACCCTCGAGCATCGTCCCCGAGCATATATTCTCTTGCCACAGCGGGGTCTGAAACATCACTTCTACTCGCCCATCGTCCTCGGAAAAGTGCTTATGATGATATAGAAGCACTTCAAAGTTTGAACCGGGATGGTACCGTGCCCGGCATTTTCCCTGCAAAGCACTTTGTGCAGAACATCAGACGTTTTTGCAGATTCTCCTCGGCTTCATATGGATCGCATGCCTTGAAAGTCATGGGTGTTCCACGCCTGACTAGTGCTCTACCCACCGAAGAGGTATCTAGCCCGGAACATAGTGATTTCTCTGATCACACAGGCTTGCCGGCTTCCACGATCCTCTTGTCCTCCTTCGTTGACTCTGCGGGTGGAACTAACGCCGCAGGGGAAACGGAAAGCGGTATTCCTTTAGTACACTACCTTTTCCTTGATCATGAATCGAAAGCAGTTGTTCTGACTCTGCGAGGGACATGGGGTTTCGAAGATATTCTGACCGACATGACTTGTGAGTACGATGACCTTGAGTGGCAAGGTAGGAATTGGAAAGTCCACAAAGGAATGCACGCTTCGGCCAAGCGTCTTCTGATGGGAGGAGGGGGCCGAGTCATGTTGACGATCAGAGCTGCACTAGAGGAATTTCCAGAGTATGGGCTGGTACTGTGTGGTCATTCGCTCGGGGGAGGCGTTGCTGCACTCCTTGCAACAATGATTTCCGAACCCAGCAGTGATGCTTTTGGGGCATCGTTCACAACCACTTCCTATCAGACCACGAACTCGGGTACATCTGATAGCGATGAACAATCCTTTGGCAAAGCCTTCTTTGTGCCCCCCGGCCGGCCTATCCATGTCTATGCATACGGTCCTCCCGCGACAATGTCGCCTTTCCTGCGTCGCGCAACGCGGGGATTGATCACTACCATTGTTAATGGTCAAGATGTGGTTCCTTGTCTCTCGCTCGGCATTTTGCATGATATGCATACAGTAGCTGTGGCGTTCAAGGGTGACATCTCTGGCGCTCGCTCTCATGTGGGATTTCGAGTTTGGGAAGGCTTCAGGCAAAGTATTGTGAACAAGTTTTACGTCAACGAGCCGCCTATCCTCACACACGCCGGTCATGGCGTAGGAGAAGATGCGTGGGCATGGAATACATTGAAGACGCTTCGTGAGGAAATGAGCGCGCCCAAACTGCTACCACCCGGTGAGGTATTTTTGGTGGAAACAATGAGGGTTTTGCAGCGAAACGCTTTCACATCTGAAGTGAGCAGTGATGGCCATCCAGTGTTAGGCCGGCCTGCAACCAGAGCACAATTGATATTCGTTCGAGATGTTGAAGCCTCTTTTGGAGAACTCAGGTTTGGCTCAGGAATGTTTAGTGACCACAATCCAGCAAGATATGAAGCGAGCCTTGCTGCACTTGCCCGTGGAATTTTGGATGAGTGATTTGTTTTGACTTCATGCCTACAACATAAAGTGATGCTTATATGATCATGTATTTATGGAGCCTCGAAATACCGGTTCCATTTAGTCTTCGTGGTTCTTGACTAGGTAGTGGACGGGAGAAGAGTGATCATATACAGTCGAATACTAATTTTGGAATAAATCATGTAATCCTCAAGATATCGCCGCTTCAAATGTTCAGTTCGCACAATATTCGCGGCTCTCTCGTAGCATGCCCAAGAGTAGCCCTGATAGTGCCGCTCATGGCATGAGAGCCGATATTGGATACAAGGATCACATGGCTCGACTTGTATTCATTGAACGATGAATAGCTGGTCTGATGTTGGTCTCTGAAGTTCATCTCGCGTTCGATACCCACTCAGAGCATCTCTTCTCGAGTGTGATCCAGTCTTATTCGGAGACTGTTCGTTCACGTATCTCTTAGTATGGTTAAGACAGCTCTGAAGTCACCAACAGAGGCCAGGCGAATTTTGCTCACCGCACCGCCCTCGACGTAAGGGAAAATACAGCCCAGCTGGACCTTACGCCATAGGGCTCCGCATAAGGTGACGATCAATCGCCCGGACATTCGTCACTTGAATGACAGTCCATCGCATAAGGCTAGCAAGCAGTAATCGAACCAACCAAGACATTGGGCGGCGGCATTATCTTTTTGAGCTCGCATTCTTTCAGACTCAATCCTTCACTTGTTGTGCGGCGGCTCCTTCTTCGGCTCACTGAATTGGTTCTGGGTTCTTTCTTCGATTCTAGCCTCCAGATTCTGAAGCTGCTTCTCCACGAGTTCCTTTTTGGCCATCAGGTTTTCTCGCATACCTCTGAGCCCGGTGATTCGCTCATCGATCGTCGGCTCAAGTGCCTTCTGTTCTTGGACTTTCTGCGGGTGAAAGAGATCATCAACAAAGAGCTTCCCGCGATCAAAATGGGGTCAGAGCCCATACCTGTTGAAATTGATGTTTGGATTTCTGCGAGGCGCCAAAAAGGGTACCGGAGATAGTGATGCAAATCACGGCGCCTGCTAGGGTAGCTCGTGGGATATCTTTTGGCATGCGAAACATCTTGAAGGTTGGAGCACTTCCACGTCTTGCGGTAGTGGGAAGTGAGATTGACTTCGCCGTCGATTGAGAAACAAAGCTGACGCAAATACCAAAATCACGAAGAGGAGAGGGGGCGAAGGCGGAGCATAGCAAGTCGATAACTTGCAACAAAGAGCTCCGAAGCCCCCGACCGGCGGAAGGGTGTCAAAAGTCGGCGCTAACCCCAAACGGGGCCAGATGGGCAGGTGCCACGGCAGGTCCAGAGTTTCTTTGTTCCCCTCCAACTCGCGTCGCGTCCGCCCGCGTGCCCCCATATCTTTCTTTATCACCGTTCCCATATCACCCAAGGCGGTGTCAACAATCAAAGCTTCTCTTTCCCCCCTCCTCTCCCTCCTCCAAATGCGCCGGTGGTAATCGCACGGCGTGCTCGCCATTGATCAAAAATGCCCTCCGGACGGTCCGTTCCTCGCCGTCGCACCCGGTCGGAGGAGGAAGATGATAGCGACGATGCATCATCCTCTTCCTCCGGGTCGGCTCCTAACAATTCAAACGCTCGATCCTCAACCCCGAACAAGCGCCGCAGAATAAGCACCGGTGATAATGATCAGCCTGATGAGGAATCTGGACGCTCTGCCAGTGAATCAGGCGATGACGAGTCGAGGGACGGATCATCCTCCTCGGGCTCAGCTACCGTAAAACCGGACCCCCGAAACTCGAATACGAGCCAGCGCTCCAAATCGAGCACGCAAACCGCTCGACAGAGTCAAGGAGGACCAGGGGACACTGCTAGCGAAGAAGAGGATGATTCCGACGGATCTGAGGCACCAGGAGATGGCAATGAGGACGACAGCGTACCAGATCCCACTCAGGCCGGCGGCGCTGATGGCACCCAATCTCCCGAAACCAGCGCAAATGAATCGCAACCTGCCGATTTGAACGAGTTGACACCGGAAGGTTACAAACCCGGTGCCATCGTTCGCATCAAAGTCACCGATTTTGTCACTTATACATCGGCGGAGTTCTTCCCGGGCCCGAAACTGAATATGGTCATCGGGCCCAATGGAACTGGCAAAAGTACACTTGTCTGTGCGATATGTTTAGGACTAGGATGGGGGCCGCAGGTACGAACAACTATAATTGCACGTTCCCTATTGCTTTGTCTAATCAACCTCTACATGTTAGCACCTCGGGCGCGCCAAAGATCCTGGCGAATTTGTCAAGCACGGTTGTCGAGAAGCTATCATCGAGATCGAGCTTGCAGGCGGAAGGCGCTTTCGTCGCAACCCCGTAGTGTCGCGGACCATCAAACGCGATGGCAACAAAAGCTCCTTCACGATCAACGGGAAGCAGGCTTCCCGTCAGCAAGTGTTGAAACTCGCCCAGTCCTTCGCAATTCAGATTGATAACCTTTGCCAATTCCTTCCGCAAGACAAGGTCAGCGAATTCGCTGCTCTCACGCCCATCGAACTCCTCAACTCGACACAGAGAGCTGCGGCGGGTGATGAAATGGTCGAGTGGCACGAGAACCTCAAAACCCTGAGGGCGGAACAGAAAAAGCTGCAGGCAGATAATCAGGGCGATAGAGATCTTTTAGCGAACCTTGAGGACCGACAAGAGATGCAGAGAGCTGATGTGGAAAGGATGCGCCAGCGAGCTCAGATCAAGCGAAAGATTGAGATGCTGGAAATTGCTCGCCCGGTCACGCAGTACACGGAGCTTCATACGCAGTTCAATGAAATGAAAAGAGAGCGGGATGTGAAGAATCAAGAATTGGCGGATCTGGAAAGAGAGCTTGAACCTGCCTTGAGGTCCTTGAATGATAGGCAGGACTACTGTGTCGAACTGGATGATGTCATAAAGCACAGAAGTCAAGCGTTCGAAACTGCGGAGAAAAAGGCTTCCACTGCCGCTGCGAAGATTGAGCGGTTCGAGGAGCAATTCAAGGATTTGGATGACCAAGCCGAAGCTGAGAAGAGAAGTGGGCAGAGTCACAGGCAGAACATCAGTAAGGTTCAGCAGAATGTGAACAAACTCCGGCGTTCTTTGCAAGAGGAAGAGCCTGCAGCTTTGGATCTGGACTCCTACAACGAGAGAATTGTGAGTACGCTGAGCCAAATCTAGGGTCTCTTGCTAATATCGGACAGCGGGAGAAACGAACGGAGATCAGAGAAATCGAGGCGCAGGCGAATAAACTCAAAGAAGAAAGACGGCCTCTTCTAGAAGCACACAAGCATGCAGCGGATCAGATTAGGGAGGCAGAGGGACAGCTCAGGAATCTCGATTCTCAAGCTGGCCAGCAGGAATCAAAGCTGGAACGCATATCTGCGGACTCTGTCAAAGCTTACCGATGGCTACAGGAGAATCAGGGCCGGTTTGAGAAAGAGGTCTTCGGTCCTCCAACCCTTACCTGTTCAGTCAAGGATCCTGAGTACGCCCACGCTGTCGAATCGTTGCTACAACGCACGGATTTCACTGCATTCACTACGCAAACCCGGAATGACTTCAGGACGTTGCAGAAAGCTCTGGTTGAGCAGAGGCTCTCAGACATCAGTATTCGTACCTGCTCTACCCCCTTAGATAGTCTTCGCCCATCCGTGTCCGATCAGCAAATGAGAGATCTTGGATTTGATGGATGGGCCAAAGATTTCCTGAGCGGACCCGAGCCTGTGGTAGCTATGCTTTGTAGTGAAAATCGCTTGCACCAAACACCTATAAGTCTTCGGGATATCAGTGATGAGGAGTTCACGCAGCTGCAGGATGGACCCATAAGCTCCTGGGTGGCCGGGAAGCAGACTTATGCTGTGGTCCGGCGACGGGAGTATGGTCCCAGTGCAACTTCCACTCGAGTGAGACCGGTCAAACCCGCAAAAATCTGGACTTCACAGCCGGTGGATGAGTCTGTGAAGGAAGACATAGTGAGGAGGATCAAAGCACTCGAAGATGAGGCCAGCGAGCTGCAGGAGAGGATGAATGGTGATAGAGCCAGACTCGCTCAGCTGGGTAAACGATATGAAGATATCGATAACGAGAGGGTAAGCAGGAACATCATGCGTTGTGCCACTACCTTCAGTGCTGATTTTGACCCCATACAGAGACAACTCGAGCAGGAGAAAGGCGAGAAGCAAACGGCACTTACAAACTGGAGAGCAATTCCGGAGAGAATCAGTAAGCATAGAGCTATGCGAGATCGGTACTGGTTAGGATGCTAATTTGAATGAAAAAGACCAGGAGGAACGCAAACAGAGGGAGATCCAGGCAATGATTGATGAGGTGAGATCGAGGGTTAAGGGAATTCGCAACCAACAAGCCCAAATATCAATCAAAAAGGCCGAGGCTGCCATCGAATATGCGGTAAGTCTCGGGACAGCCCTCGAAAATGCACAGCATTGCTAATAAGCGGCAGACTGCGGTCAATGTTCTCCATCGACTACACGAGGAACTCATCAAAATCAAGATTCGACACATCGAAGGCATCTCCGATCTCGAGGCTCTCAGGGCACGTAACGTGCAGCACCAAGAGAGGCTGAATGCAAAGCGCGACGAAGTGAAGGCTGCCCAGCAGCAAATCAAGGACACCACGGAGCGAATGAAGAAGCTGTACAAGGAAGCGCAAAAGATCCTTGCAAACGCTAGCAGGCAACCCGATCTGGCTGAATTTATCCCCACTTTGGCCAACCACACCACCGATCAGCTCGATGCGGACATTGATGCCGAGAAGGCGCGCCTCGAGCTCACCCATGGAGGCAACAGCGGCGTGATCAAGGAGTTCGAGGAACGGGCTCGTCAAATCGACAAGCTGCGCAGCAAGCTCTCCGATTTCGACAACAAAATGGCGGACTACAACCACGCGATCAACGAGATCCGCGGCAAGTGGGAGCCCAAACTCGACCGCATCATCAAGAGCATCAGCGATGCCTTCTCCGACTCCTTTGCTCGCATTGGCTGTGCCGGTCAGGTCACCCTGGACAAGGCTGAGGAGGAAACTGGCCCCAATGGCGAGGCGGCCGACACGGATTTCGACCAGTGGTCGATCCAGATCCACGTGAAGTTCCGCGAGCACGAGAATCTGTCCCTGCTGGATGCCCACCGGCAGTCCGGCGGTGAACGCGCTGTCAGCACGATCTTCTACCTCATGGCGCTCCAGTCGCTGTCCGCCTCGCCGTTCCGCGTTGTCGACGAGATCAACCAGGGTATGGACCCCCGGAACGAGCGCATGGTCCACGGGCGCCTGGTCGACATCGCCTGCGCTCCGTCTGAAAGCGGCGGCGGCGGTCAGTACTTCCTGATTACCCCCAAGCTTCTGAGCGGATTGATCTACAAGCCTGGCATGCGGGTTCTTTGCATCTACAGCGGAGAGCACATGCCTGAAGACTACAACGTCCTTAGCTTCGGCGAGGCGGTTAACAAGATGAGAGCCGTGGCCGGCCGTAGTAAGGGTAAGGGAAGGGCGATCGACGGTGTCCGAAGCAACGGGGACGTCGGAGTATACGGTTGAATGGTCTGAAAGACATTACCTCGTCCTCCGTCTCGCTCGTATCTTTGGATAGGAGTTCTCTTTCACATCGTTTCTTGCAGGAGTTCGACTCGCTTGTGATACCTTTGTTTGGTTTGGATAGGTTAACATTACGACGCCGGGAAGAGGGTCATGATGAATTTTCTTGCAGGTGCCAATCTTGCTTTATGTTTTCGGATGTACATGACAAAACATAGGGAATGGTGGGGATCATGAATGAGACATTGCATTATTGTTGTCTTTTGCAAAATCATAATACAGTTACCCTCAAAGAGTTTCTTCTTCGCCTAGCGAAATTAGGAGGAGCTTGATCACAGAGATGTAAGCTCGCTATCTACATCATGGATTCTGAGCGCTGCCAACCTGTAAGATCTATACATGCTTGAGTGCGGTCGAAAAGTATCAAGGCATAGAAACCAGCTGTCTAGGACGATATCCTTCTGTAATCAGTCATTTTCCCTACACTCACCCTCAAAGCCTTGAATGAGCACATAGTAACAGGCAAGGCTTATTCGAATCAAAGTGAGTTCTCTTCTCTCTCAACCCCCTCCTTGATATCTCCAGGAATGGTTGAGACTATCAGCTATCCCTTTACTTTCTGACGGATCCTCACCAATCCATAGAAATACTCTAGTCGCTTCAGAC